GAGGAGATCCAGCTTAGCTGAAGTCAGGCTTAGTCCAGTTTGGAATGTGCACGAGTTGACTCGGAGACAAACAAATGAGCTTCAAAGTTACCTTTAAACAGTAAACGTCAGCTGTTACAGGTGCAGACCCTGAGAGTTTCATGGAGCTTCCTTCCTTCCTTCTTCTAAAATGCTTCGCTTTACTTTCTTGCACATCGGTGCAGGTGTTATGTAAGCTGCCAGTGAGCTCAGCTTGACAGAAGAGGATTTTGGGCTACTAGTGATGAAACGGGGCCGCCTGAGTCTCCTCGCGGCAATAATATCCCCTGGATTTCTTTTGCGTGACAAAAGAACCATTGAATCTGCTAAAAATAGAAATTCAGCATGTGACTGGGTCTCCAAATCTGCTGCAAAACCTTAATAGCTTCAAACCAAGGATGCACTTTCTTAGCTCCAGGTTTGGAGAAAACCTGTTGATTCAAGAACAGTTATTTCTTAAACTATCAAATGTAAAATACCCGAATGGGTTGACACACAAACATCACTGTGAAGCATGATGTAAATAATTATGTCAAGTATGAATGCATCAACAGGAATACGCTCCTTTGGATTTGAATGCGTCACGTACTCTCTTTGTTATTTTATTCTTGGACTGCCACCGTGACTCACTTCCTTGTCCCACTGTTTCACCCCTGGTGCTGCTCTCAGATCTGTGAACATCGACAGGAAGTGGAAAAGCCTGATTACCAGAGCACTTTGTTCGGCTCCAGCTGAGAGCAGCGATAAGTAAACAAGCCGTGAGATTTCTTAAATGTACTCGCTGAATCAAAACTTGTTGAAAGTACAGATAGAAATGGTTGCTAAACCGGGAGAAGAACCTGGGTTAAGTGTCTGCAAATCTTAATATTTCTTCAAAGTCTTAATATTTTTATTTTTATTTTATTGTGTAACCCTGTTTGCTGCTGCCACAGACAAATTTCCCCTTGGGGATGAATAAAGTACTATTCTATTCTATTCTATTCAAATCCCTGCCTGGTCCAGGCTTTTCCCATTCACTTTTACTGTCATTATTAGAACTTGGAAGTTCATCTTATTTTTAAATCTGCACCCACTTTTGGCACATTTTCCAGTAGTTTTGGGAGTTCTGTGCAGCCAGGAAATCATGTCATCTACTCTCCCTACAGTTTGCTTGTTTGCGTTGCACAACCTAATTCTTTTTCGGAGCACATTTTCAATGTTTTATTCTCAAAACTTGAGTCTAGACGAAACAGAAATATCTGAACTGCAACGTCAAATTTCATCATATCTTGCGGTATAGCAGTGCTCCAAAGTTTTCTAAACAAATTTGTCTTGTGGCTCGGGGGGGGGGGGGAAAGAAACAAACATGTAAACTGCATTTTATAAAATGCAGCCGGGGAAAGACAAAACATTGTTGTTTGCGTGAGGATTATTCAAACTTTCTTGCGCTCTCACTCGTCTTTGTCCAACCCGTTCCCATCATTCCTCCCCGGCCCAGCCTTCCCCTGCCAAACCTCGCCTGTGTCTTCCAACCCGCCAGCCCGTCGAACAGCGCAAACCGCTGCAGCGGCATTCCAGGAGGCTCCTCCAGGACATGACAGGGATAAATCATAAGGAATAACGAGTGCTTGTTTCCGTGGAGGGTGAGGGAGAACCGAGAGCTTACAGACTGTCCAGTCAACACGTGTACTTGCACACACGCATGTACAAGGATCTGTTTGCATATTTTCGTTGCAACGGGGCCAAAATGGAAACCCTGAATCCAGACAGTGGAGTGAATGAGTTTACTCATAAAACAGTAGGAAACATTCATGAAATGTGGGCCGGTTACCACAGTGATGACACAACTGTACGCTCACATACATAATGTCCACAGCAACCGGTTTCCGCCTTTAGAAATCGATTTAAATAATACATCTAAGTTATTGCACCAACGTTTCTCCATCCTGATTTAAAGATTCATGTCTAACAGAGAGCATCTGTCTCCAACCACAACTTGGGTGTCCAGCCAGGTTTCGGGCAGTATCCGATGCAGCCACATCACCCCTGTCCAGACAAGCCTCCACCTCAACATGGGCAACCATAACAACTACACTAAGGTCACCAAGTCTGCACCGCGGGACGAGAACGCATCCGCCGCCGAGCTGCGACCTGCTCGGGGCTCCAATAACAGACGTCCACGCAGAGATGGTTGCGGTTGGACGGAAAGGAAAACAGAATGCGACGGGTGGCCAGAGACGATTAGCCGTTCTTCATCAAGGCACATTGGTGGACATCCGTCTTTTGGATGTTCTGCTAAGACATTTTCACAATGATCATGTGGTTACAGATTTTCAGAGAAAGAGAAACATATCACTAATCGCTCCACTGACAACAAGATTACAGGTTAGTGGAAATGTTTTATGGACTTTTAAGGTGCGATAAGTCCGATTTTTTTTACCAATCACAACAAATGTATGCCCTCCAAATAACTGAGCAAAGGAAAAAGTAGCTGTGTTATTGCAGTATTTAGCAGGGTGATATGCAGTGTTTCTCATGCTTTTTGATGTCAATGACCGCACAGCGAGGCCAACGTGAGATGCCAGAGAACTTTTCATGTTGTTGCGATTCCTCTGGTCGCCAACAGAGATCAGTAAATGCCACTTGGTGCTCCTCAGAAACTAATAATAGAGTCTAATAAATATTAGAATTAGCCTTGAGAAATGCATGTGTAGTTTATGTGTAATTGATGAATGTAAACTCCTATTGAGGTTATTAAAACTACAATACTTTTACACACAATGCAACATTAAATGTATGTAGAATGATTCACGTTTTAAAGCTTACTTTTGTCCATCCTGATTTGGAACAAAATTACTTCATTATGTGAAATTGCACATATATTGTCGAACATCATATGTTAAGAACACATTCACCTTCATCACTCACTCATTAAGATCTGAATAGTCCCCATTAAAATGTCACAAATACACAGAGATGCTGCATAAAACGTAACAACGCGACCATTAAAGCATTCAAACACAATTACTGTTCTGGTTACTGTACGGCATAAAAAAAAGGAAGTTGCGGCAGCTTGAAATGATAAACACATAAAACCAAGTCAACGCAGCGCAGCGGTCATCTTCATGTCTGGTGAACTGCAAACCTCTGGCGACGACCTCATTGTGCTTCATGACAAATTTACTGTTCAAGGCCTGCGTGGAGTCAGCTGAGGAAAGCACCGCAGTCTGCCCAAATCCACACTCGTATTCGCACAAAGACTTTATTTTTCCACACTTTGACAGCCTGAAACAATGAGTGTGCCGCTGCCATACTGTGTCCTGTTTATTTATTTTTTTATTCGGGGGTCATTTCACTGGATAAAGCCAACACAAATGTTTGATCCCGAGTAAACCAATTTAGGGATTAGCACATTAGCAAATAAGGATTAGGGAAATCGTGCCAAAGCTGTAATTTTTAACCAAATTAACCAAAATCAGAACACTTCCTTCCACAGCACTATTGGTTCTTCTTACCATTTTCTCATCTCAGACACACACACCTCTGACTTCTCCTCCTAAAAAACATTTCTTGTCCAACGTCTGTCACTACCAGAATGAATGACTCATGACTCTGGATCTCCTGATTATTCCCCCAATGTGCCACCACAAACAGCTTCGGCTGGTTTTGGAGGTATTTGGGAGATTGTTCCTCAGATGTTTTGGGAACACGCAGCTTTTGCTCCTGCAGTAATATTTGGGTAGAGCGATGGTTTAGGGGATGTTTTGGGGGGAAAGGGAGAGAAGGTAAAAATCAGGGCAGACTGGAGAGGAAAAGAGAAGAGAGACATTTCAACATTTCTCCCCACCAGTCACAACTAAAACCACTAAGAACAGCCTTGTTACGCTCTTCCCCTCCGCCCTTTCCCTCCTGTCTCCCCGTCATTCATTCCTCCCTTCCTTCCTTCTCATTTACTCTCCCCATGCATTCTTCCCTTTTCCACTGCAGATTGGGATCGAATGTGGTGAGTCTGACCGAGAAGAGGTAGAACTTTGTGATTCGATGAGAGGAAGCAGACAGCATGGTTTTACTTCCTCTTCAGTCTTCAGGATTTTCTCTTCAAACATCAACGATAGCTCAGGATATGAACAATGTTCCCTGTGTCTTCTTTTGCAAATAAATGTGTGAAAGTGAATTATAAAATGTATTAAGTGATGCGAATGCATGGGCCTGTGTTCGAAAAACACGTTTCAGGTATAATAGGATGACGTATGATCCAGGAAATTTGTGTTTTGAGAAGTAAAACCATGAGTTTGAAGGCTTGACAGATGCTAAAACACTGCTCAGGGGTTTCAAATACTATGGGACAATCAATTTACAGCAAAGAGGAACTTTAACCTGCAAGTCCACTGGAACCTGTTTGAGATTGCACTGAAAAAAGGATGTGCATGCTTGAATTCATCTGTTGTGCAGGTTTTAATAGAAGTCAATAGAAGATAGAACGAATATTCGTAGGATGGAAATGAAATGTGACCAAAACTTTACTGGCTTTCAAGTTACACAGTAATCTACTGGCCAATGCAGTTGCTTGCCGGAAGACGTCACGTTACGTTGTGGCAAAAGTCGCTTGTGTTTTTGGTTGGATCCCTCTGTGTCTGCAACCCCATTGTGCCAGTGCAGTGGCCTCATTGAATTGAATGAGAGTGCTGCATTTTTTCAGTGACGATCGGTCTAAACACGGCATTAGTCTTAGCTTGATTGAATGAATCACAAAAATGTGAACTCTTACAGAGCTGCTGTCTCTTTTGTTATATAAAAGTTACAATAACAATAGAAAATATAATAGCCAATGACCAAGCATATGTGTGTATCAGTAGGAGTGTGTAAAATACATATGCGTAAGTTAAGTATTGCATGCGTGAGATTGTTGATGGGCACGCGTTGCATGTGGGTGTGCATGAGTATCAATATCAAGTAATAACTCATAATAACTAATAAGGAGTAAAAGATGTACAGGGTCTTACCTTCCCTTCACATTTTCTATGGAGGGACAACCGGCACGCTGAAAGAAAAGAGACAAAATTAGGTTTGTAGTTTGCCTTTTGCTCAAGAATAACTGTGTTCACTGCTGAATGTACTGAAAAGGAAACAAGGTCAGCTCTCATCCTGACACTAGCATGCAGTGGTGCTGCCCCCCAGTGGCCACAAGAAGCAAACATCCATCCATTTGTTTGTTTGTGTTTCAGTATGCAGCAGGTAAATACCACTGGATGCTTCCTAAAAAAATACGTTTCAGGTATGATTTAGATGAGCAAAATATTCAAACAGACGCAGTGAGAGCATGTCAACCTCCAGGCACGAAACCGCCATGTTTTAATGTCTGGGCAGGCACGACCCTTAACCCCCACCAACACCTGCGGCCTCGCTGTCGACCTGGGTGGTCCCCAGTTGGCAAGAGTGTTTCTGATGTGTGAGGTGTGAGTGCTGGGTGGTCTCACGCAGGAGCACACTGGTAGAAAAACCCTCTTCGGTTAATCTAAATCTAATCTAAACCTCTGTGATCGTGATAAATGTGACACGTGGTCATTTGGTGTGTGAAGCTGATTGGTCATTATTTGGAGCTTTGAGTGAGAGTTAAGTGAGCGTTTGTCCATCCAATTAGAGAGAGGCAGCTGTCTACTTGTGAAAAGCCAGACCTCAATATGATTCCAAAACATGTTTTATAATGCTTCATATACATGAAGAATTTATGCACATGAGAATATATTTGTTTGATCCCTTGCGGGTGATTGTGTGTCGGAGGGAAGCAAACAAAGCTTTGTGGTGGTCAAAGCTCAAGTGATGTGTCAATTGAAGGAAAGGTTTAAAGGAAGGGTTTACACTGTTTCACAGCCGGTTAGCGTAGCTTAGCATTAGGACTGGCAACAGGGGGTTACAGCTCGCCTGGTTCTGCCTGTCAACACTTTAAAAGCTTCTGATCCCGGCCAATGAATTTCCCAAAATGTTGAAATATTCCTTTAAGGGGCACAAACAGTACACCTGAAGGCCGTGCAGGTAGCAACACAACCTCAGTGAGTTAGAGCACGTAAATCCTGAACATCTGCACACATCTGTAAGAGTGCACAGCACATCGTCTTACTGTCACATCTTACCTCAAGCAATGTGACCTTTTTTTCCAGGGTGCCTAGCAGCACTTCCTGTAACGGGCAGGACAGATGCTCAGATTGAACATGTGTCCAGGTGTTTGTACAGTTTAGCAAAAGGATCACATTCAATTGCACCAAAACTTATTTTTTGCTGCTCAAAACCAAGTTTGTGCACATAAAGCTGCTGTTAGGCTTCAGGAGGCAGTTTTTGGTTTTTAGCTGGATGACTTTAAGCTTTACCATTTGGCAAGGAAAGCTTATTGCAGTCTACTGTATTTTAACATAGAGGATGGATGAACAAAAGAGGGATGAAAGGGAAAGTAATTCTCCTGTGCTCCCCTTTGCACTCTTTTTCCTTTGTTTTCCATGTCTATCTCCAAATCCCCCCATACCCCAATTTCTCTCTCTTTATCCTGCCTCGCTCTACTCCCCCACCCCTTACCCCTCTCTCCCTTTTTCCCCTCTTATCTAGGCTAATGCAGCAGCAGCAGCAGCCATGCTAATTTTAACAGCAAATCCTCAGCCAAAGCCCCATACAGGCCCGCTCTCCTACCGCCAGGCTTCTGAGTGTCAACTGCTAAAGACTCTGCGTTTGTAGTTCAAAAAGGAGAAGGGGAGGGTGAGTGAAAGTGTGTTAGAGAGATGGAGGGGAGGCGACAAGAAAGAAAGAGAGAAAATGTGAGACTGCCCGGGAGTCCTCTAACATTAATTTCCCCTGGACTTTTCTTGGAGTGACAATAAAACCCTCAGTTCTTCTAAAATTAGAATCGAAAACATGTGAGTGGGTGGTGGAGGAAGACGGGGAGGCAGGGGCTTAAAGGGAGGGAGGAAGAGGGGAGGGAAGCCAAAGCTGCAACAGCAGACGCATGCATGCATACATACTGTATGCACAGTAAAGGAAAACGAGTGAGATGGATGCACAGCGAAGATAGAAGAGACAGATGTAGAATAACAGCTGCCAGACACATTTTACATCTAGTTGAACTGAATTTCTGTGGACTTCTGGTTGGACAAAAAAGCCTTGTGAGGTCTTCAAATTGTATTTGAATAAAAATCAGTTTAATCAATAGCAAATCGTATCGCCATCTGTGTGTATACGATGTTGGATGCTTTGCTCAAGCGCAGCAGAAAAAGGAAAGACTAATTCACTTTTTTTGTCTTCAAATTCAAAACAGCTATGATTGTTCGTGCTTGATTGTCCCTGAATTTTGCCCCAGTGCATGCTGGGATAGCCCTCGGCCCAGCCAGCCATCCTGAACAGGAATCGGGAGAACACATTCATGAATGGATCGCTGTCTGGTCACTCATCGGATTCAAAGTTGAACTGGAAGCAGGAGACTCACCTTTGCAGATGAGGCCCTCCTTGGTGATGGCCTGCTTGCATATATCACAGCTCTTGGCCTTCTTGAATGGCTTCAGCTTGAAGGTGTGTGTGTGGACGCCCTCCAGCTCGTCGGGCTGTGGGAAGAAGAGGAAGGAAGAGAGATCAGGAGGGAGTCGGTTGAATTGATGCCAGCATGTCCACGGCCAGTAGAAGCACATTTGGTATTCGGAAGTGATATATCCGCATATGGCGGCACGTCGGGGGTTTGAGCTCAGTCTTTGCTGGTTTCAGTTGACCGCTTCACTTGTGTCTTTGTTATTTTCTCTGTTTTAAATCTTTGTAATTGAATGTCTTTCATTTTTGGATTGTTGGTTGGACAAAAGAAGCAATTTCAAGATGCAACTGTGGGCTTAAAGAGGCTTTAATTACCATATCTTTGCTTTTTTCTGATATTTTATATACTCAATGATAAACTGATACAAAAAAAAGAAATTACAGTTTAATAAATGGATAATCATTAACTGAAGCCACGCTTAAACCATCTAAAGCAATGATTCTAAGCTCAGTTTATACAAAAAAGAAATAAACATGCAACATTCATCAAGTTTTTCGACAAGTTTTTTGTTTATTTAATCAAAGACCAAGAAGACACACTTTCACCACAGATATTATTTTGCGTCACAATGTTGCATCTACATGCACACACACTGACACAGTACGCCCACCAGCAGAGGATGTTTTCACTTTGAAGTTTTCTAATTAAATGACTAATTAATGAGAGAGAGAGAGAGAGAGAGAGAGAGAGAGAGAGAGAGAGAGAGAGACTGACTCACAGCAGCCAACAACCTCAAAAACTCGAGGAATGCTGTACGTGTGTGTGTGTGTGTGCGTATACATTTGTGTGTGTGTGTTCATACTGTACTGTATCGTGTGTGTGTGTGTGTTCGGGCCGTGCTGGAACATTTCTCAGAGCAGCCTGAGGACACTGCACCTCTAGAAACTGCACCAAAACCTGAGCAGAGCAGTGAGGAACAAACAGTGCACGTGATTCTTGTCCCCTTTAATAAGCAAAGATACTGAAATACAGATGATGATGATGATGTGCCGACGAAGGTGGGGTTGATGTATGCATGTTGTTCGTTGGCAGGATAACAACTTAGACCTTTGGAAAATGAATTCCATCACTTCTCTCTTTTATTACTGACATGGGTGACATTTCCAACACTTTCAAAGCATCGCTTTGTTAACATGTGATTTTCCCTCCAAACAGCTGCGCATTACTCTGTGTTGATTTGACTAGTTTAACCAGGAGCATACAAAATGCAGCCAAGAACACTGCAACTGGGTCACTGGAATTCCCTCTGAAGGTGCCTCAACTCTAAAGCAGCTCAGCCTGACTCTGAATACTTGAGAGCATCATAAAATTGTTTTTAAAAAACACATTTTTGTTAATTTATGGAACAGTCTGAGTAATGCATCACATATTGCATGTGTTTTATGATGGTTTTATTCTATGGCACGAGGCTGTTTGGGTTAGTTTGATTATTTTTTCCAAATCTTAAGGTCAAACTCATTAAAAACAACAACAACAAGGACAAGCAGCTATTTCCAGCTCTTCTTTTTCTTCTTGCTCACCCTCCAACACCCTCATGGATCTCCCCATAGTCCTAACTTGAGCTCTCTTTTACCACCATCCCTCTGTCTGAACGACCCCCTTGGTGAGTCATGACGATGATGTCATTTCCTTTGTGTATTTGTGCAGCTGGGCCGGTCTGGGTTGGGCTCCGCTGGACTGTAAACCTTAGTGCTCTTCAGCGAAAACAGTGTTTTAAAGACACCTCGTTCCAACTATCACCTTGAAAGGATGAATGAATGAGTGCCTTCAGGAATAAGTAGCAGAAATGTGACCAATCCCATGAGAGGGGATTCCAGTTTAGCATGATCAGCAGCTTAAAATGGAAGAATTATTGTAAATGCCACATCGCTTCCCAAATACGATGATCTAATTAGGATCCGCTTTTACGAGCTGAAGCGAAATAAATCAAACCCCAAAGTCAACGAGCCAATTTTCCTCCATCTACGACAATACTCGACAAACCGAGCTGCATGAAGCGTTGCTGTTGCGAGCCTGCAAGACCCGTAACTTCCTTCTCTTCTGCGTAGATTGGCGGGAACATTCATGTGCATCTACTCAGAACTTCAGCTTCACAAGTACTACGACTACTTCCTCTACAACCACAACTAATCACTACTACTGCTGCTACAACCAGAACTACTCCTTCCACAGAGGACTCCAGGTGTGATGAGGCTCCCCGATGAACACAAGACCACGTTGTGTAATTCTTTGCCTCATTGTCTTTGAGCTCATTTTCTGCTCTCTTTCCGGAGCTCCCTCGTCTTTTTTTCTCTCTCCGTGTGCCGCAGTCAATTTGGTTCAAAGCTTTTACGAAAGTGTATTTCTCAGCGTTTTCGCTGCCCTATCTCCCTAAATCTTAATGGCTTTTGTCACACTGCGAGACCGCTCGCTGTAAGCTCCACAGAGGAATCATGGCCGACCTTGGCTGCACACAGCATGTTACAACAGGTAGCGTCAAGCAAACAATATGCTACACTGGTAATTCCTGTAAAATACTTAATTAACTAACAGTCTGCCGTCCATCTCATTATTTTTCTCTCATGAGTTGGTTGATGTGTTGAGCAGCAGCTCAGGTTTAAACACAAACAGACCGCAGACATTTCTCTCACTCACAGTTTCATTAAAGTGAAGGGATGTAATCTGAGCCGACCGATATCCATCATGATCATTGGAGGACTGCTGAGATGGACAAATGTGAGACAGTGCAGAAGGAAAACAAAAGGGGATCATAACATGGAAAATGATTAGAAATATAAATATTAGACCAGCTACTGCTGGCAAAACATGCCCTGACAATACTCTTACAAAACAAACCTAATTCACTAAGATTCAAATAAAAACATGTTAATGGAGAAATAAATCATTATTTGTTTCAAGGAACAAATATATTTATTTAAACTATTTTATTTCAAAACATGCGGAATATGTGGAAAAGTAAAATGATGTCCGAGGATGAGACTTCAGATTTTCAGACTAACATGAGACTGAATAACAAGACTCACATCTTTTACAGTGTGGGCCTGCCTGGGTTTATAACTAGCGGTTGAAGCACCTTGTGCCCCTCTACAGCCTTGATGTTAAAGACGGACCTGGCAGAAAGCCGCCGGCTAAACCAATCAGACACAGCCAGCTGTGCCACAGGCAGGAGCCATGGTTACCTGGCTGCCACGAAAACTGAGTTCAATGTGTCCTGTCAGACAATGACGGATGAGGTGGGATTAAAAAAACAGGGAACAAAGAAAAACATACAACCACAAGTTTGCACACACACACATACACATACATACATAAACATGCATGCAGACCCGGGTCTACAGGGGTGAGTATCGCCTCAACAGGAGGGCAAAGGGTTCATGGATTGCTGCCATGCAGCATCTGGGATTCAACTGTTTTTCAGAGAAAGAGGGAAAAGGGCCTCATCAGCTTAAATGGCGAGTAATCAACAAAGAGAAAAGCAAGGGAGCACGTGCACAGTGGAAATGACCCTCAGAGTTTTACAGGGTTTTCTTTTTTCAGGGAGTAAAGATGTTTGTAAAGCTCACAATTAGGCATGTAATCAGAAAGCCAGTTGACTAATGAATGCCATCAGTTTCTTAACCATCCATGTAAGATTTTATTATCCAGTACAAAACAACTTGCCTCCTGATGTTCATATCAAGAAAAAGCTTAAGATTTGCAAAGAAAAGTCCATGCAGGACAAAGAAATCTGTAACTTTTTACCACAAATGTTAGAAGCATTTTCATATTCTGTACGCTCTGAAAACTTGTTCTGAACAAATCCACTGATAAATAAATAAATATGTGCATGAAAAAGAAAGATAAAAAGATGCAATCTGTATTGAGGATCTTTAATAATTCAACCTGGTGAACCAGAGCCCATATAGAGTTCAAACACCAGAGTTGTGACCGTTTATCACCAAGGTGGTCGCCGTAAATCAAGAAAACCACACAACAACAAAAAACCATCATGCTGAAATCTTCATAAATGTTCAGCCAAGATGATTTTTTTCAACAACCCAGCTGCTAAAATCAGTCAATCACGAACACTTTGAGTCACTTTTGAGTGCGTGGATCTTTCATGGAAGCTGCGTTTTTGAAAAACAGAAAAATCACAAGCCCCGTCCTCTGTGTCGTGTTAGGACGAGACTCCCAGGAGAGGCCCGGGAGAGAAAATGGAAAGGAGAAGGGAGAGGGATGGAGATGGAGAGAAAAGAGGGGGTAAAGGGATAGAGTGAGTGGTCTAAGAGCAAAGGATGGAGGAAGAGGAGAGTAGGTGTTTCTGTGAGTGTGTGTATGTATGTGTGTGTTTGTCCTGGCTTATAGACAGTAGGCCCAGTAAATCAAGGCCCTATGCTCCTCTCCCCCAGTTGCACTTAGCTAATGAAAAGCATCACTACGCTACCTCGACCGCGACCCCACTTAGAGCCAAGAAGTGGGAGCAGGAGGGAAGTGAAAGGGAGGGAGGGAGGAGGAGGGCACTCTCTCAAAGGCACTGCTCTTTCATTCTGCACAGGGACGACACATGGACACAAATTAGTCCTGGCACATGTAACCAATCACAAAACATGTAGTCAGTCCTGCACGTACACCTGGAAACGTAAACAGAGGTGAACATAGTGGAGCATTTAGCAGCTAAAATAGCAGATATTTCTTCAGCGGGTTGGTGGAGACCAAAACAGAGATAAAAGTAGTGTGATTATTTAACTTACATTCAAGTCGACACAAACACATATCTGAATGAAGGCTAATATTGCTCCGTAACTTTTCTGCAGGATGTGAAGGGGAATTGTTTGCTCGCTTGCTCTGTGTCGGGTGATGTTATGTCAATGTTGTGTTAACAGCTTGTTTCTGCTGCCTCCAAGTGGCCAAAAAGATCAGTTAAATACAAGAATTTGTCGCAGTTGTTCTTGGATATTACCGTTGTACAGTTGACACGATGGAGGTCAACACAACCTTTCTGTGGACGCAAATCTGCTTTGATCACCACAGCCGAGCATA